TCTGGCACAGGGCGGGGCTCTGGGGCAGGGGCGGGGCTCTGGCACAGGGCGGGGCTCTGGCACAGGGCGGGGCTTGGTTGTGAGGAACCTGGAGGCGTCCTGGAACCATGGATTTTGATAAAGGTGAGGGCCCTGACTGGGCGGGACTCTGGGCTTGGGCGGGGCTCCGTTGGACCGGGCTAGTGCAGTCGCAGGGGGCAATGGCTCTAAAACAGCAGAACTCTGTGGAGGGGTCTGTGGATGAGGGTGTGGCTGTCATCGGAAGGGGATGCCTTGGTCGTGGGCGGCGGGGGGACCCGACAGAACTCATGTATGTGTGTGGCTTGTTGTGTGGGTTACGGTTGTATTTCTGGGCTTGGGTGGGGCTTCATCGCGCAGGATGGGGTTCTGATAGAGCTAGAGATTCACTCCAGTCCAGAGCCTGGAGCTCAAAGTCGTGAGGGGCATGGCTATAGGATAGAAACAAAGGCCTTTGGAAGGAATGGTGGGGCTTGATAGGAACGGGCGAGGCTCCAGCCGCGGCCTGAAAGGGTGTGGCTGTAGAACTAGAGGCAAAACTCTGGCAGCCTAAGGCCACCTGTGGGATAGGAGTCCAGTGAAGGGCCGGACTGCGGCACAGGCAGGGGCGGAGCTTAACGCTCAGGTGTGGTGATCAGCTGGGAGGTGTAGCTTTGGTAGAAGCGAGGACAGGAACTGGAATAAGCCAGGAAGGGAACTGGCTCTCGAAAGGGTCAGGCTATGGGAAGGAGAGGGATTCTTTTTTTAAAAATTTATCTTCATTGTTGAAAGTATCACAGATGTCCCTCCCCTCCCTTCTTCCCCCCACTGACGGGGGGATTCTTTAGGATTGGGTCTCGGGTCGTTGATGAGGCTGCAGGAGTGTGGTCTGGGCCTGGATATCCAGAGGCTGACCACGGGGCTGACGTCTTTGAAAGGGGTGGTGCCGGGGCACAGGGTTCTAGGTCTGGTCCTCCGTCTCCCAACGCCCTGCCGCCCTAGCCACGGCCCACGCGCGGTCGCATGAGGATCCACTCCCTGGAAAACGTGGACAAGGCTCTGCAGTTCCTGAAGGAGCAGCGCGTGCACCTGGAGAACGTGGGCTCGCATGACATTGTGGACGGGAACCACCGGCTGACCCTGGGGCTGGTCTGGACCATCATCTTGCGCTTCCAGGTGATCCCCAGGTGTCCCCTGCCCAGCCGGCCTCCTAAGGTGGGGCCTGAGGGGGGCGTCCCCCATCCACTCAACCATCCATTCATTCATTCATTCATTCACTCCAAATCTAATATGCTCCAGCAACCCTGTTCCAGGGAGTGGAAATGAAAATAATGATAAAATAATGATAAAAATAATCATCATTGCCCCAGCCTGTTTGGTTCAGTGGATAGAGCGTCGGCCTGCACGTTCCGGGTTCAGTTCTGGTCAAGGCCATGTACCTCGGTTGCAGGGTCCTCCCCCGCAGGGGCTCATGCAGGAGGCAACCAATCCATGTGTTTCTCTCACATCGATGTTTCTCTCTGTCTTTCCCTCTCTCTTCCACTCTCTCTAAAAGTCAATGGAAAAATATCCTCGGGTGAGGATTAAAAAGAAAAATCATTATCACCACTAGCATCACTATGATCATCATTTTTATATTTTTTACTGTGTTCCAGTCACTGTTCTAAGCATGTGGCATTTAATACATACAACAACCCCCTAAACTAAGTAGTTTTTATTATTCCATCTTACTAGTGAGGAAACAAGCCCAGAGAGGTGAAGTAATATGCTCAAGATCACACAGCTGGGTAGTGGAGCTGGAATTCAAATTCCGACAATTTTGCTCCAGTTCAGAAACAAAATAGATTTTCTGCCTTTGTGGATGGACAATAAACAAACCTATAAAAATATAAACAAGGGGTGTATGGGAAAAGTACCAGTTCTAGGCAAAGAAGAAAAAAGAGCTATGCAGAAGAGATTATAAGTCAGTAAAAGATATAAAATATTAAGTTCATGGCACTGATATTTTAGATTGGGTGACCAGAGAAGGGCTCTCTGAGAAGCTCTTTGCTAAATGACATATGAAATTGGAGGGAGAACGCATTCCAGATAGGGGACACGGCAGATGCAAAGGCCCTGAGGTGGCATGTTGGACGTACAGAAAGACCAGAATGGCTAGAGAATAGGAGGCCAGAGGTGACTGAGGAGATGATATCAGAGGGGCTGCCAGGGCCTAGGTGATCTCTGATAAGCAGTTTGAATTTTATTCTGTCTGACATGGGGAGAGACTGGAGAGTTTTATCAAGAGGCGAGGCGTAGTCAGATTTAGAAGGATCCCTCTGGATTGGGTGGTCACCACAATTGGGGGCTGGGAGTCCAGGGAAGAGTCTGGAGCTGGACCTGGGGTGGGGCATAGAGAGGTGAAAAGGAGGGCAGGTAGGAAAGAAGCTGGGGGAGGGTGATGGGGGGAGTGGGCATGCCATAGGGGAATGGGAAGGAAGGGTAGCTGTTCAGGTCTAGACCCAAGGCTCTGGCCTGAGGACTGGAGGATAGTGGAGCCACCCTGAGACAGGGCCAGGGAGAAAGATCAGGTTTTGGAGAGACACTGAGGTCATTTTGGAGAATGGTGGTCATCAGGGTCAGGGGACATTAGTAGGAGGCATTTATGAATCCACTGGATACTGGGAATGGAGCTCAGAAAAATGGTGAAAGCTGGAGACAGGTACGGACGTCAGTACAGAATGAGGGAATGAGACCATTGGATTGGGAGTGGGGTGGGGTGGCTGGTAGCTGGAGCCTAAAACCAGGGATTAGGCTACCTAATTCTCTACGTTGTACCTAAATGCCAAACTCAGCTCTCAAGTCTAGGGTGCAAGTGTCGAGCACCCCCCTAAGTTTCTCGAACCTGCTCTGATTCTGGGTCCTTCAGGGCATAAACGTCACGTGGTCCTGGAACTCTTACAGGGTAGTGAGCACTTTAGTCTATTAGGGCCGTGGTCGGCAAACTGCGGCTCTTTGGCCCCTTGAGTGTGGCTCTTCCTAAGCCTTAGGAGTACCCTAATTAAGTTAGTAACAATGTACCTACCTATATAGTTTAAGTTTAAAAAATTTGGCTCTCAAAAGAAATTTCAATCGTTGTACTGTTGATATTTGGCTCTGTTGACTAATGAGTTTGCCGACCACTGTACTAGGGGTACTGTAACAAAATGCCACACACCAGGGGCTTAAACCACAGAAATTAATTTTCTCATAAAGTTCAAGGTCAAGGAGCCAGCAGTTTTGGTTTCCTGAAGCCTCTCTCCTTGGCTTGCCAAGGACCGCGTCTCGCTACATCCTCACATGATCTTTCCTCTGTGTGGGCCTGTGCCTAGGGTCTCTTCCTCTTCTTTCTTTAATACTCACCCGAGAATATGCTTATTCATAATAGAGAGAGGGGAAAGGGGGGGGGGAGATAGAGAGAAGCAAACATCAACCGGTTGCCTTCTGTGGGAGCCCCACAGGAATCGGACCTGAAACCTTTTGGTATGCAGGATGACGCTCCAACCAACGGAGCCACACTGGCCAGCGCTCTTCCTCTTCTTATAAGGACACCATGTATATTACATTAGGGCGCTACCCTTATGATCTCATTTGACCTTAACTAACTCTCTGAGGCCCTGTCTCCAAATACAGTCACATTGGGGGTTAGGGCTTCAACTTATGGATTTTGGGAGGGGGGGGGACGACAACACAATTCAGTCCATAATGGGGAGACAGTAAACCAAATGAAGAAATAAAATGTATAGATAATGATAAATGCTAAGGAGATAATAAGGCAGGGAAGGGGGATGTGCAATTTGGGTAGACATACTGAGATTTAAAATCAGGTGGTTGGTCAAGTCCTCACTGAGAAGGTGACAAGAGTACAGACCTCAAGGAGGAGGTGGAGCCTTGTGGGGACCTGGGGAAGGTTGTCCCAGGCAAAAGGAACAGCCAGTGCAAAGGCCCTGGGGAGGGAGGACACTGGTAAGTTAGTGATAGGACAGAGGTCTCTGGAGGAGAGCGAGCTGCTGAGGATGAGGTCAGAGACATACCGAGAGGGGATTGTGAGACTTTTATTTTTACCCAGAGTGAGCTGGAGCCACATGTTGAGGATAGGAGGCACGTGATCTAATTTGGCTGTTCACAGGGTCCCTCTGTCACTTGAAGAACAGATTATGGGGCTGGGTGGGGAGACCAGCATGGAGGCCGCTGCACTAACTCAGGTGGGAAATGATGAGGGCTGGGATCAGGGAAGTGGCCCAGACATCAAGGATGGCAGCATCCCTGGAAACTGAGACCCTAATCCGCCACTGCCTGCCCGCTGTGGTGGATGGCCTGGCCACTCCTGAACCCCACCCCTGCCTCCACCTACTGTTACCCACTACCCTCCCTGGCAATAGGGTGGGGGTGGGTTTCCCAGCTTCAAGCCCTCCAGGTCCCCAAAGCTGAGTTTTGTATCCTCACAGATTCAAGTCATCAAAATTGAGACGGAGGACAACAGAGAGACACGCTCTGCCAAGGATGCGCTACTCTTGTGGTGTCAGATGAAGACAGCCGGGTAAGCTCCCCTCCTCTGGTCCCACTCAGACTGGGCCCTAACCTTGGGGGCTCCTTTGGGGTGAGTGCAAGTCACAGCTCAAATCCTGTGTCAAAAGTTACATGTGGAACTAATAGACTGTAAAGAAAACACATCCACTCTTCTGACCTTGATGAATAAACCTGCTTAACAGCCTGGCCGGTGTGGCTTAGTGGTTGAGGGTCGACCTATGAACCAGGAGGTCACAGTTTGATTCCTAGTCAGGGCACATGCCCAAGTTGTGGGCTTAATCCCCAGTG